CATACTGATAAGTGTGCACACACACACACACACACACACACACACACACACACACACACACACACACACAAGTCCTTCTTTTGAGTTTGTGTCACGTGGAGCTGTTCAGAGCCTCAGGCACTAGCCATGCTGTATCACGCTCAAGGGGTCTGAGATATCTGCTCCATACAAGCTCATCTGTATTTCCATTCTGGTCCACATTCAAATCTTCTTTAGTGTTTTTAGAGACATGATTTTTTTAAGAAAGTTTCCAGCAAAGCTGTCTGCCGTGTTGTTTTAGTATCAATAATATAGCATAAGTTTTGTTCATTTTTTGAATTACATTTTATTTTTATGTTTTCCATTTTCATTTTAAATGTACTTATAGTAGTTTGATTGTTGTGTTGTTGTTTCTATGGTTTGTTTTTGCTATTTTTGTTCAAATTTAATTTGTTTCGTCAGAATGAGAGTCCAAACAGCTGATGAAAACATCACAATAATCCACACAACTCCAGTCCATCAATTAACATCGTGATGCAAAAAGCTGCATGTTTGTAATAAATCTATCATTAAGACTACACTGTAAAAAAAAAATCTGTGACATTTACGCTAAAAAACAGCTGTGGTTGCCAGAACTTCACTGTTAAAAATATGGTAGAAACATTTTAGGTTTTACAGACTTGGCTTAAATTCACAATAAAAAAACGTATTTCATTAACTGATGTAATGTTAATAAACCAGCATATTGAAGTACTAATATCTGTTTTAAACCACTGAAATGCTGAAAACCACCAAAAACAGGTGGTGATGAGAAAGTCACATGATGAATCAAAGCTCATCACAATCAGCTCTTCCAAAAGCTGAGAAGGAAAATACTAATATATATACATAGAAGGTGCACAGTGTCATTCACACAAACACTAAACACCATCATGGTGACACACATGATACTGAAATAATGCAATAAACATTAATTTAACAACATTAGATGTAAGATAAAACACTAATGTACACAACCGATAAGAAAAAACTAAGAAGAAACAGTTATTTCAACGAAAAAACATAAAATATGAAGTGTCATGCAGGGAATTCTGGGAGTGTCAATTTACAGTTTTTCACTGTAAATTATACAATAACTTTTTCTTTTTCACCTTCAAAAAAAAAATCTTAATTTTAACAGTATTTTACTGTAAAATTACATTAAATGTAATTACAGTTATTCACCGTATATAGTATGGAAACTTACTGATAACCAATTAACAGGTTTTTATTGTAGCCTTTTTACAGTCTTTTACTTTTAAAATCACAATCATTTTTTACAGTGTATCTATAGACTATCTATCATTTTAACTTATGGCTAAAATACGAGCTCTCTATTCTAGTGAGTCTAGATTTACATCTGAATCGTGAAAGAAATATGCACAGATCAAGTACTGTTTACAAGCGTGAATAGTCCAAAACAGTTTTAAACAAATATATCTATGGACAAGAGTGGATGGACTTTTTCACTGGAGGAATCGTTGTTATGGATTATGTACTAGTATTTTGGCCAGAAGTGATGGTTTAAAGTTAAAATGCCTTAATGATGAGTTTGTTTCATACAAACACAGCTTTTCACTTCACAAGATGTTAATTGATGGACTGGAGTCGTGTGGATTACTTGTGGATTATTGTGATGTTTTCATCAGCTGTTTGGACTCTTATTCTGACGGCACCCATTCACTACAGAGGATCCATTGGTGAGCAAGTGATGTGATGCTACATTTCTCCAAATCTGTTCCGATGAACAAACAAACTCATCTACACCTTGGATGGCCTGAAAGTGAGTGCATTGTCCGAAAATTGTAATTTTTGGGTGAAATATTCCTTCAATGAAAATAACTCTGGTTGTCAGGAAACGGTACACAAACAGCCTTCAGATCACATTTTAAGTGCATCGTTCAGTTTGCAGACTAGCCTGATAACTGCTGTAAAGGGGTAATTCACCCAAAAGGAAAAAAAAATCTATCATCATTCATTCACCTTGTTCACCTCATTTTCAAACCTGATGATTTTGTTTTCGTCCCTGTGGAACGCAAAATTACATATTTTTTAAAAATGTTTAAAAAAAACACGTCTTTTTTTCATACTGTCAAAGTCTATGGGGTCCAGTGTTTGAATACAGGTTGAGAGTGTTCAGCTCTCCTATTATCACTGTTGTCTAAAATACACATGTAAACACTGTTGTCCTACCTGATATTCAGATGTGGATGACTGATAGGTTCGTATACCGATTCTTAAATTATTTTAGTCTCCTCCATCCTAAATATGTAGTTATATTCTTGCATGTGCTTCAGGCTAATGGAATACAGCAGGATTGAATCATTCTCAGTGCAGAATGACAGTTTTAAGCTTGATTAATAACATGAATGTCATTAAGGGTTCTGACTAATCAATCTCATGGGAACCGCAGAGAAATAATTCCATCTGTTCAGTTTATTCACTTTTAAATGGAGAGGTTTTGATACTTGCCTTTTGGACTTGCATTAAGCAGCCGTTTCTTGACTTCACTGCTTCATGATTTCAAAGATCTGGGGTTCTCTGCATTGAGTTTAACTTATTGACTCTAATGATCTTGCAACAGACAAACCCAAAGTAACTTATGCAATAGCATGTGGCAAGCAGCTTCAACATCCTTAAAACTAAAATCTTTGATAGAATTTTTTATTTCTGCTTTTATTTTAGATTAGCTACTAGTAATTCTGATATTTTGAGCTCACTAGAAATTATTCATTACATTATAGCACATGGTGACTATTTTCTATTCAGTTCATCAGTAGTACTTATTTATTTGCTATAGTAGTAATTTGCTTTACCCAACAAGTAACTTTTTTCTTAATGATAATAA